TTTTAATTAATTAATTATTTTTTATTTATATATAACAGCGGAATGCATTGCAATTCTTATTATATAGAGATAGCTCAATTTTTCATATCTCTGGTTGTATACATAGTATACTCACACCAATTTGTGTCTTTATACCTGTACTTCGGATAATAATGATCATCACATTCAACCATCATTAATTACCCCTTGTCCCTCCCTTTCCCTCCCACCCCACTGCCCTATGTAGCGTTCATCTATTCCTCCCATGCTCTCTCTTCCTGTTGGCACTTTGTTTTCTATACAAATAGACCGACTATATATTTGGAAAAGAACTGGAGAAATGTGATCTCCTACTATAGAAAGACATCAGGAGACAACTGAATATATTGTATTGCATTAGAGAAACTAGCATATAATTTAGCTTTAAAACTTTTACATCATGTTTCTAGGAGAAGATGCTATTTTGGAAATTTAAAAATGTCTTAGGGAGCTCAGTCAGACTTCTGGTGAAGATAGTGTCATAAGTTCACTGAAATCATGTTCATGTTATTGTTCTAATTAAAAGTCACCTTAGTACTGGGACCAGTACTTCTCCTACAGCCTTCTCAAGAATGCTTTGTTTTATATGCCACATAACTGGGTCTAGAAGTAGGATAGGTATCTTATTCCACAGCACTGATTCTAAACCATTAAAATCTCCTATTCTTTAAAACATTTCATCTCCTCAGAAACATTTCTTATCAGAGTAGTTTTCTCTTTGCAGTCATTTCCCCCTACTTGTAGAAGAAGTAAACAAAGATATTAGTCTTTTTCTTCTTGACTGGCATCTTTTTTAAAGACTTTAAAAAATATCTGAAAGATAAGAACTATTCTCATTTAAATATAACTGTAGTGACCCTGCACATTTTCCCAATGGTTTCCTAATATCTTTCCATAATAGCAGATCACATTTCTTCAGTTATTTTTGAAATATATTTTTATAGTTGTTCTATTTACATCAGAAACAGTCCCACATTGCATTTAGTTAATATGTCTCTGAGGTCATTTTTATATATAAATATTAATATATGAAATTTATAATTTATTAAACCAGGTCATTTGTTCTTTTGAACGTATTGTATTCTACATTTACTTGATTGTATCTTAATGATATATTTATATATAACATGTTCATTTAGTCCTCTATATTTCCTATGGACTGGTTGTTAGATTTAGTGCCTTGTTAAGATTTTAGAGTCTTAAGAAATTTAAAGAATAGTTTGTACATGATACTGTTCATTTCCTATTACATCACATCGGCAGGCACATATGTTTGCTTGTCTTTATTCTAGTAATGTTTTGATCAGTGTGTTCAGGTATTATAAGTCTGATTCATCTGTCGTATAGTTTCCTATTAGGCATCTTACCTAATGTTTTTAGCAGCCATTGATGACTGTTGCCTAGATTAATCTAATAATTTCTTTTGCGTTTATCATCTAGAATTCTTATACCTCATCAACCATTTGATTTCTATGAAGTGAGAAAAGCTGAATTATTTTCCTTTATTTACCAGCTTTCCAATCATGGGTTGTTTTCCTAGCACGCCAAATTAGTTTCTTTTCCTTTTTTCTTTCTTCCCTTTCTTGTTCCTCCTCCTCCTCCTCCTCCTCCTCCTCTTCTTCTTCTTCTTTTTTTTTTTTTTAGTACTGGAACCCAGAGGCACTCTACCACTGAGTTACACCTCTAGCCCATTTTATTTTATTTTTTTTAGTTGTGTAACAATAATTTATTTCCCCCTTTTTACTGGTGCATTATAATTATGCATAACAGTAGGATTTGTTATAATATATTCATACATGATCAAAATAAAAAGTATTATTTGATCAGTTTCATTCCCTAGTACGTCCCCTTTTCTTTGCCTCCCTCCTACTGATCCCCTCTTCTATTCTACTGTTCTTCTGTTTTTCTTTTTTCTTTAATTTGTTCTAATTAGTTCTACATGACAGTAGAATGTATTTTGACACATTGTACACATAATGGGGTACAACTTCTCATTCCTCTGGCTGTACATGGTGCAGAGTCATACCAGCAATGTAATCATACATGTAATGTATATAGGGTAATAATGTCTGTCTCATTCTACCATTCTTCCCATCCCCATAGTCCCACCCCTCCTCTCACTCCCCTCTGCACAATCCAGATACTCCATGCCTAATAGAGAAAAAAGTAGGCCCAAATCTTCATCATGTCGGATTAGGCTCGACTTCCTTAGCAAGACTCCTAAAACACAAGAAATAAAATCAAGAATTAATAAATGAGATGGACTGAAACTTAAAAACTTCTTCTCAGCAAAAGAAATAATCAATGAGGTGAAGTGAGAGCCTACATTTTGGGACCAAATTTTTGCCACATATACATCATATAGAGCACTAATCTCCAGGATATATAAAGAACTCCAAAAACTTAACACCAAAAAAACAAACAACCCAATCAATAAACTGACACTTCTCAGGGGCAACAGTATTTCCTCTGCTTGAATCCCGAGTTAGGGAGTGAGAAGGAATGCAGCCTCTCTCCAGTCTGTTATCTTGGATCTGACCCCCTTTTTATTTTTTATTTTGAGACAAAATCTCACTAAATTGCCCAAACAGGCTTGGAACTTTTGATGTTCTTGCCTGAGCCACCTGAGTTTCTGAGATTGCCGGCATGCACTGTGACTGGTTCCAGTGAATTTATTTTGCGTTTTTATCATTGTAACTTGGAGATGTCAACAGTTTTGGTATATTTCAGCCATTGCAGTTGTAATTGTTTTTAATGATGAAATTGTTCTATCTTTGGCCAGTTGGCTCCTATGTTCTTTTGACATTATTTCAGTAGTGTCCTTGCTTTCTGGTGTGACAGTATATTCTAGGCTTATTTTGTGCATTTCCTATCAGACTTAAAATCAGCCATTTTTCCAGGAAGCACTATCTTCTGTTAGAGGGAAATGTTACCTTTTTAAAAAAATATTTATATTTTAGATTTAGTTGGACACAATATCTTTATTTTATTTTTATGTGGTGCTGAGGATCCAACACAGTGCCTCATGCACGCCAGTTGAGCGCGCTACTACTTGAGCCATATCTCCAGCCCCATTGTTACCTTTTTTTAAAAAAAAGTACAATTTATTGAAGAATGGAAGAGGGAACCCCATAGCAGGTTTTTCCCCAGGGAAATGTTTTTATAGAATGTAGTTGGGTGCTGTATGGGCTCATTTGTACTGATTTGATCAATACTTTTAGACAAAATGTTTTTGTTTCTGATAGATAAAAATATATCATGAATATGTACTAAGGTTCGTAATTTGTGTTTAAAGTTAAGAAGTTTTACTCTTCGTTTGTTCTTGGCAATTGTTTTCTCTTACAAGAAAATTTTTGTTCCTAAACACATTAATGGTGCTATGTGTGTTCTAAAATATAGTTTTGAAATAAAAAATGTAGATTATTCTAATAATTTGTTATTGAATACTATTTAGTGTTTCTTGTTTTTTTTTTCAAATATAGGCAAATCCATGTAACTTCATGTCCTTCCCTGTCTTAGATAAAACATATCATACTATATATATTGTTCTGCATCTTACATTTTTACTTTATGTCCTATAGATCACTCCATATAACTGCCTCATTGCATTGTACTGCTATATATTATTTGTGAATGTGCTATAGTTTATTCAACCTGTTGATAAACATTTGGGCATTTGCAGCCATTTGATATTGCAAATAGAGCTATAGTAAATAGCCTATATGTATGTTATTTCATAGTTTTGTTTATCTTTGTGATAGGATTCTAGAGTATAAGCTTTATTTTGCTTTCTCTTGTCATGGTGATGGCATGTTGATGGGGATGGGAGTTGGGGAACAGATCATTAAAAAATGAAATATACTTGTCTTAGTCTGCTCAGGCTGCTATAATAAAACCACATTAGGGGTAGCTTATAAACAACAAAAACATTTTTCACAGTTCTAGAGGCTGGAAAGTCCAAGATCAAGGTGCATGCAAATTTGATGTCTAAAGAGGGCCCACTTTCTGACTTATAAATAGTGCCTTCTTGTCCTCACTTGGGAGTGGCAAGGTAGTTCTGTGGACCTCTTTTATAAGGGCATGAAGTAATTTGAAGAAGTACTTATAGGAAGTTTTACTTTATCTTCCTATCTATCTTTTCATATCATTTCATTGCTTATTAATACCTGATACATTATTTTTAGAAAAAAATAACATTTTGAGGAGAATTGTAGGTACAATTACATTATTTTTCTCTTTCTTTTTTTAAACCTCTTATTATACTGTCTTACCCATTCTGATATTGACCAGATAACTTGGTAAGTTTAAATCACTCAACATTTTTATTGATTTGTTGCGGTTGGTCCATTACCTTCAAGATTTTAGGCAATATTACCAAATGTTAAAATCCTTACAAACTAGCATGTTATAACAGTCTTAATTATAATAAGCAAATCTTCTTGTTAATTGGTCCTTAGCCTTCTTATATATTATCTCTGTGTTTTTTAATCCTCCACTCTGTGCATCTTGGTTTCTTTACTAATAACTCCTACTCCACTTTTGATTTTTAAAGCAATTTTATCTCCTGTTGTAAAACCTAATTTAAAAGTAAAATCTAAACTAAAAAGAGATATTCTTATTGTTTTTGGCAGAAATCATGTAGTCTTTTTTCAACTTATCTGTGCCATCTTCATTTAACTATATCTCAGTGTTGGAACATTTTTCACTTTTATTACTCCATTGCTATAGCAATCAGTGAGGCTTGCAGGTTAAAATTTTTTGTCTTTTCTATTTACTTTTAAGAGAGTATCTATATTTGTACTTTGTTGATTTTTATACTCACGTGTTTAATATCTTATTCCTAGTTGAAATCTTCTTTTTATGAGATTAGGTAATCAAGAGTGCATTGAATTTTTTGTGTGTTTCAAAATCTTGCTAACATTCAATTGAAATTTTGATGTGTTGTAATGTTGCTTGTTGGTATTTCATTTTTTCTTGTTTAGGTTCGCAATGTTCTTAACGATGCAGTGGATTTGCTGGAATTCCGTGATAGAGTCATTAAAGCATCTTTGAACTATGCACACTTAGTTGTTTCAACGTCTCTTCAATGTTATGTGTTCTCGTAAGCATCTTGCATTTCTTAAAAATTCAGTTATGTCTGTGATGATAAATTTTTTTTTAGTTTTTTTTGTAGGTGGACACAATATCTTTATTTATTTATTTATTTTAATTTTTATGTGGTGCTGAGAATTGAACCCAGTGCCTCAAGCATGCTAGGCGAGCGCATTACCACTTGAGCCACATCCCCAGCCCCTATGATGATAAATTTATTTTCAAATCATTATTGTTTGGCTTAAACTTAATTTTTCTCAAAACCTCACCTGTCCTGAGCTTATCTCAAACCAGGAAGTGAGAAAAAGTGAGCAATGAATGAACAGTGAAAATATATCTAATAAAGTATGTACATCAAATGTTAATGATCACTTTTATAATAGGAAATACCTTCTCTGAGATAGTGTTCACTCTTAGTTTCAAGGAATTTATTGTATATATGTTTTTCAAAACTTAGAGCTTAGAAGCACCTGATAAATGATGGGAAAAGGAACCATCCATTTACTATAAGAGGGGACAGCTAGCATCCTGATAACAGATTTATTTAGTAAGGATACAATATCATAGCCCAGGGTAATCATGGATGTTTGTATTGATGGCCCAGAATTGTCCAAAAATGATGGATTAAAGGAAATCTATTCAGTATATTCTGTATTGGAAGGCAGGGAATGATTCAATAAACATTTCCAGGAAACTTGCATGAAAAACTTAAAAGGACATACTGTTAAACATACAACTGGTTTTCTGGAAATAAACAAACCTGATTTGCAGTTTTGATGATTTCCATGATGTAAAAATATTTCCACCAGGACCAATTTTAAGCTACAATGTGATTTCATGGAGAGCAAAGTTGAAAGGAGATGAAGAATAGCAAACCATTATATTTGTAGTATTGCTGCCATACAGATAAAACATAAATAATTTCAGGTGCAAAGATAATAGTAAAAGATAATAAAATAACCTAGAAGTGATATTTTGAATATTTATTACCTTTGTTTTTAATATAATTTACTTGATAGTAAGTCTATAAAATTTCATTTTACATCCCAGTTTTATTTAATTTTTTTTCTGATTTAAAAAATTCTTGAAAATTTAGCAACTGGTCCAATCTGACTATACTTTACCTCCAATTGAGTCCTCAACTATCCAGAAAACTTGTGTAACCACTATGATACTTTCAAGGGTTGTGAATACTTAAGGATTTAAGAAAACATTTTAAAAAACATTGTGCTTGTATTTATAATAGAGATCTTTTTGAGTTTCTTTGTTGTTTGAAGAAAACATGGTGTGATTATAGTTTAATTATTGACTATAAAATTGAGGATAGAGAATATATGTCTTTCTCATCAGAACCCAGCATGTGGTATAGGTACTTATAAATATTTTGAATGAATGAATGAATTGAAACATGTATAGTATTTTCTTGGAATCCTAAAGCCCAGTAATACACAAAACAAAGGTATTAATTTAATTGACAACTGCTGTATTTTTTAGAAATCCTTACTTTCTCTGTGTAAATCTGCTGCTAATCAGAATCTGCAACTCAGGAAAACAGCCAAGTCTGGAATAATGAAATAGGAGAAACAGGAGAGTGAATAAAGAAATAATCAGTTCACTTTTATATGAATTTTTCTTCTTAAATGATAGGAAGAACAATAATAATTCGGGAAAAGTAAAAAAAATACAAAATTAAAACTTGAAATATGGGAAAAGGATTATAGAACATGGGAAAAATCTTATAATCACTTAATACAGTTATTTAAATGATTTTTATTGGGTTGAGAAAAATAGAGATCTTTTTAGTTTGAGTTTCTTTGTTGTTTGAAGAAAACTAGGGCTCTCCATTGCCCTAAAAAAGGTATTTATTCTACTAGTTACAACAGACAGAGCATAACATTTGAATCTGTAGGATTCCTTTCATTAGGTCTTACTCACATTAGAGAGTTTGCTTTTAAAAATACCAAAATTTGGGCTGGAGATATGATAGAGTAATAGAGCACTTGCATAGTCAGTGCAAGGGCCTGGGTTGGATACCTAGCATCATTTTCTTACCTTCCCCAAAGCAAAGTAAAATACAGCTCCTATTTATTTATTCTTTGTCATTTCAATTTTCTTATATTACCTAATATGTGGCAAAACATATAGGTAATATGTTTAACCTTGTCTCCTGTCTGGTTGTCAACATATTATTGTTATAAAATATTTATTAAAATGAAATACCAGGGAGCAATAGTAGAAATGAGGAGGTCTCGGGACCTATCATCACCAAAAAGTTTCATTAAATTAAAAAAACCTACTCATATTTTAGGTAATAATAGGTATAATTTATTGAGAAATTTTTATCTTTTATGTTTAATGTTAGTATTATTCCCATTTCATGAAAGCTAAAGGACACAGTGATTAAGTAGCTTATTCTTAGTATTCTTTAATTCATGTATTGTAGTACCTGCAGTAGGTATTTGTTGAGTGTCTGCTGTGTGTTAGTTGCAGGGGAGAGAGAGTCTCCTTTCTAGTTGGGGATACAGTCTAGTTGCAGGTACAGAACGAATAATTTCAGAGCAATATTCTACATACCTTAATAGAAGTACAAATAAAGTTACTGTGAAACTAAAATCACTATTTAAAATGAGTACCTGTATACTTAAAAGAGTATTTTAAATGTTAATTTAGTATTTTAAATGTTAATAATGTTCCTTTTATCTGTCTTTTAGTACAAAGAACTGGAATACACCACTTATATTTGATCTTAAAGAAGGAACTGTTAGTTTAATTCTACAGGCAGAAAGGTAATTTGTTTATTATGTTTACCTATTGGATTTAGGGTTAAAATATTTCACGTAGGGGCAAAGCAGTCTTTAAAGCATCCTACTTATATAACAATATACTACTTATTTGGAATAGATTTGTTTATATTATAGGTTTAAAAATTAGAAGCAATAAATATGCTTTTTAGATAAGAAGTCCTGAAACTTTTTAGTCTCAACATTTTTTTTTACATTTTTAAAAAAATAATTGAGGGTTATATGTAGGTTATATTTCAGCATTTTCTGTATTAAAAATTAAAACTGAACAAGAAGGAGAGAGGAAGGATGGGAAAGGGGAAAACATGGAATGAATTTAACAAAATCATGTTACATGAACATATAAATATACCAAAGGGAATTTCACCTTTGTGTATATATAGAAAGTACCAATCAAAAGTAAATAAATAAAGGAACAAAAGAAAGATTAGTAGAATAGAGGAAGTGGGAACAAGGGGAGGGTGAAGGGGAGGAAAAGTGGAAGGAATGGGGATTAAAATCAAATTCCTTGGATATATGAGTGTTGTCAAAATGAACCTGACTACTGTGTGTAACTATAATGCTTTAATAAAAAAAGGAAAAATAATTAAAACTGACAAGTTTTAAAAGTATTGATTTATTTTAAATGTTGAGTTCATTATAACTGAACATTGGAGTAATGATATGAGAGAATGGGAGTGAATCAGGCAAATAATTATGAAATAGTTTGAACCTCATGGTTTCTCTATTTTCTATTCTCCCTCTCTCTCTCTTCTCTCTCTCTCTCTCTCTCTCTCTCTCTCTCTCTCTCTCTCTCTCGTACTGGTGATTGAACCCAGGGGCACTTGACAACTGAGCTACATCCCCAGCCCTATTTTGTATTTTATTTAGAGACAGGGTCTCACTGAGTTGCTTAGTGCCTTGCCATTGCTGAGGCTGGCTTTGAACTCAACAATCCTCTGGTCTTAGCCTCCTGAGCTGCTGGGATTACAGGCATGTGCCACTATGCCTGCTTCCTTTCTCTTTTCTTTCTTTGTTTTTCTTTTCCTTTCTTTCTTCTCCATTTCTTTCCTTCTTCTTCTCTTTTTTTCTTTTCTCTTTTTTAAAAAAGATGGACACAATATCTTTATCTTATTTGTTTTTATGTGGTACTGAGGATAAATCCCAGTACCTCATGTGTGTGAGGCAAGGGCTCTACCACTAAGCTATAACCCCAGCCCCTATTCTTTTCTCTTTTACTCTTTCTTTTCCTTCTTCCTTTCCTTCCCTTTCCTTTCCTTTCTTTTCTCTCTCTGTCTTTCCCTCCCTTCCCCTCTTGCTGAAGATTGAACCCAGGGATTTGCTCATGCTAAGCACACATTCTGCCTCTGAAGTACACCCCAGGCATAACTTTGTTTTAAAATATTGGTTGAAATTCATTGATTTCATAACCCACTGCTGGGCTGTGACCTGAAGTTTGAAAAATAATATTCTCTACAAAGACACTGATCTGTGTAAAAGACTAAGGAACTTGAGACCAGTTAACTAGAGTAAATTAGGAATAGATATTACTCCAGGAACCTGCAGTTTTCTGTGAAAACTATCAGTCTGTCGTATACAGTGATATCCTACTAAAACAAAAAATAGACTTAGGAAAGCTACTCAATAAAACCTGGAATAAAATATGGAAATATAATTGACATTTACCTAAAATACTTTTACAGTGAAACAATGCACTTTATTCCTTATCCTTTTATTCATCACCTAGGCAGCTCTTAATAGTGTTTCTTATCAGGTTTTCTAGCCCACAGCTTTTTATAAATAGAAAACTAGAAGAAAGTGCTGATGAGCTATTAAAGGCTGGCACAATGACAGGAAGAAAAGTGACTGCCTGGCAAGGGAATATAGAGAAAACTAAAATTACAGAACTGTGCAGCTGAGAGTATAATTATTCTGAGCAACAACAGATTCTCATGAGTATCAAAGCTATCATTTTGTTACTGAAGAATATAGTCATCATACTGATGATATTGAGTGATGAAGAAAATGTTATGTTAAATTTTACATCTGTTTAATGAAATTGAAATGTATGATTCATTTATTAATTATAAATTTTTAAAACAAGTCATTTTTGCCATTTAAAAGTTAAGATGTCAGCATCTAAAAACAATATTTCTGAAATGATTTTTACTTCAAGAGTTTCAAATAAATTTATTTATTACACATTGTTTATAAGTATATTTATTAGATGTTTTCTTTATAAAAGCATATATTAATGGTATAAATAATTAAGTAAAGAATATTTTAGTTACCCCCTACCATTGGTCTTATTTATGCCGTTAGAGATGTTAGCCCATAGAAACAGGGTATTTACTTAAAAGTTAAAAGCTAGTGTTCTATTTAGAAAAGAAAAAATTTTAAATATATATTCTAAAAATTTTAGAATATATACACAAAGAATATATACTAATATAATGTGTCACTTTGTCAAGATCAACAAACATTGTTTTCATACACTAATGGGTATGGACATATACTGATATGTAAAGAAAAATGCTTCAATTAAATGTTACCTGTCATTCCTTAGGTATTAATTTAGTTGAAGTGTGTACATAATAATTAGTAATTCCTGAATAATTAGAATAATTAGTAATTCCTGAATCAATAAATAGTTCTGAATCAAGGATATTGAGACCCTGAACATTTTTTTTTACAATAATGTTGTCAACACAAAGTAAAAGCCTCACCAATTTAGTTGTATGTGTACAAATCAATATTACCTTTCAAAAGGAAGTTTAACAGTTACATTTTAATTTTGAAACAATTTATGTATATTTTTAGTTGTTGGTAGACCTATATTTTATTCATTTATTTATCTGTGGTGCCGAGAGTCAAACCCAGTGCCTCATATATGCGGGGCAAGCACTCTGCCACAGAGCCACAATCCTGGCCCACATATTAAATTTTTAAAAGTATATATCCTTTGATCCAGTAATTATGCTTCTAGAAGCTATATACGAATTAAGTAGAATAGATATACAGAGATGTATACACACTATAGACACTCGCTAAAACAGTTAATTTAATTTGAAATTAATATCCATCACAAAAAGTGAGTTAAGAAGTAATTATGAAAATGTATCCATATTTTTTTTTGCCATAGTTATCTCTGTAAAGGTAAGTCACAAGAAGTCTTTTGTTTTCTCTTTATTGTTTTAATTATTTCTTACAATGTTTATCCTTTTTCAAAGGAAAAATGTAGCAGCCATAAAATAGTTATATAAGCCAATAAAATATTGCACAGAGCCCTATGCCTTAATATTAACTGTCAACATAGCAAATGAATCTGAAACCCTATTGTAAAAAATGTGTAAGGTTTATATGTGAATATATATTAATGATTGGCATATGATTTTAAAGTCAGAGAAGCATCTTTACTTTGTATTGTTGTTATTATTATTTAGATTTTATTATTTGGATTTTATTATTTAGATTTAGATTTTTGCAAAGGAGATATATATATATACACACATATATATATATATATTTTTTTTTTTTTTAATTTTTTTTTTGATACTGGGAATTTAACTCAGGACTCTTAACCACTGAACTGTATCCCCAGCCCCCAGTGTTTTCACTTTTGAGATAGGTTCTCACTAAGTTGCTTAGGGCCTTGCTAAGTTGCTAAGACTGACTTTAAATTTGTAATCCTCCTGCCTCAGCTTCCTGAGCTGCTGGGATTACATGTCTGGGCTAGGATAAATTATTCTTTAATATAAAATGAAAATATAGTATCTTCCTCTCTGAGAACATATTTTTATTCTTTATTTTTTAGACATTTTCTTCTTGTAGATGGTGGTGGTATCTATGTATATTCCTATGAAGGGCGCTTCATTTCTTCTCCAAAATTTCCTGGAATGAGAACAGATATTCTTAATGCACAGACTGTGTCTCTGAGTAATGATACTATAGCAATAAAAGACAAAGCTGATGAAAAAAGTAAGTACATCTTATAATTTTCCACAGCCAGTTTCCATGAAATTTGTTAATGCTATAAAATTTTCATAAATTAACTTGCATTTTCTTATCTATTAATATGTTAACTTTATGTGACAGTCATAAACTTCGTGATTTGTTCTAAATTTGAATTACATAAGAACTAAAGTTGTTATATCATACCCAATTGATAGAACACATACATATTGTTATAACAACCAAGATTGGTGGTAAGAAATAAATCTTTATTCAATGGCTATTGGTAGAGTTTTAATTAAAGATTGTGATCTTAAAATGTGTATTAATTTTTTAATATTCCTGTTTTCTTCATTTGGTAACAGAGTGAATATTGTACTTCATTATACCATTTGTTGTTTTTACATGTTTTAAAATTAAGTTAATGAAGTCAGGCACAGTGGCCCACAACTGTGATCACAATTGGGAGGCTGAGACAGGAGGATAGCAAGTTCAAGGGCAGCCTCACCATTTAGCAAGACCCTGTCTCAAAAAAAAAAAAAAAAAAAAAGTATGGAGAAGGGGACTTTTACTATATCACTCAATGGTTAATCACCCCTGGGTTTAATCCCTGGCATCAAAAAATAAAAAATCTAAGTTAGTAAAGTGGAAGAAAGATATGAATAAAATTTCTATTAAAACCTAGGCCAGTTTAAGTGATTTGGAATTTCATAGTACAATGAAACCATTTTATTTAATTTTTTAAATTGATTTTATTATTTTTTTTATTATTAGTTGTTCAAAACATTACAAAGCTCTTGACATATCATATTTCATACATTTGATTCAAGCAGATTATGAACTCCCATTTTTACCCCGTATACATATTGCAGATTCACATCATTTCCACATCCACTTTTTTACATACTGCCATACTAGTGTCTGTTGTATTCTGCTGCCCTTCCTATCCTCTACTATCCCCCCCTCCCATCTTCTCTCTCTACCCCATCTACTGTAATTCATTTCTCTCTCTTGTTTTTTTCCCCTTTCCCCTCACTTCCTCTTATATGTAATTTTGTATAACAATGAGGGTCTCCTTCCTTTACCATGCAATTTCCCTTCTCTCTCTCTTTCCCTCCCCCCTCTCAACCCTGTTTAATGGTGATCTTCTTCTCATGTTCTTCCTCCCTATTCTATTCTTAGTTGCTCTCCTTATATCAAAGATGACATTTGGCATTTGTGAAACCATTTTATTAAGGTATCACTGTATTAAAGATTCAATTATCTGGCAGATGTTATAGAATTCTTACTGTGGGCCAAATACTTTTTTTTTGAAGATATAAAAAGGAACAGATAGTTTATTATATGTTTGTTTATTTTCTACACTATCTATCTACACATGCTGTGAAGCAAACTAATGTAAAGTGAGGGATTGGGACATTCTGGAAATGAGGAAGGGGAATGACTATAGGAAAGATTCTGAGATGAGAATGCTTGGCATGTTAAAAGGAATTGCCAGAAGGCCATGTAATTGGGTGACCATGAAAGAGTAGCAAGAGATGAGGACAGAGAGAGAGAGGCAAGAACCAGATCACATAGAGACTGGACTATGGTAAGGATATAAGCATACAGGAAACTGGGGAAGTAAGCCTTTTTATCTTATAGGCTTTTGCCCTAGTTAAGTGAGATGGAAGACAAAAAACAGGGAGGAAGTTTTGGAGGGGTTTGTAAATCAGTAGTTCTGTTTTTGTCATGATATGTTTAAATGCTTCATAGACATCAAGCAGAGATGGAAGTAAACCAATAAATGCAGAAAAAGCATTTGACAAAAATAGAGAAACCTTTAATGTTCAAAATACTAGAAAAACTAGGGGTAGTAGGAACATACTTCAACATTGTAAAAGCTATCTATGCTAAACCCAAGGCCAACATCATTCTAATGGAAAAAAATTGAAAACATTCCCTCTAAAAACTGGAACAAGACAAGAATGCCTTCTTTTACCACTTTTATTCAACACAGTCCTGGAAACTCTAGCCAGAGCAATCAGACAGATAAAAGAAATTAAAGAGATACAAAAAGGAAAAGAAGAACTCAAACTATCCCTATTTGCCAATGACATGATTCTATATCTAGAAGACCCAAAAAATTCTACCAGAAAACTTCTGGAACTCACAAATGAATTTAGCAAAGTAGCAGAAAATAAAGCTAACATTCCTATACATCATTTGCATTCCTGTACATCAGTGATGAATCTACTAAAAGAGAAATTAGGAAAATTACCCCATTCATAATAGCCTAAAAAAGAAAATAAAATATTTGGGAATCTAATAAAAGAGGTGAGAGACCTCTACAATAAAAACTATAAAACACTAAAGAAAGAAATTGAAGAAGATCTTAGAAGCTAGAAAGTTCTCTCATGCTCTTAGATGGGCAGAATTAACATTCTTGAAATGGCCTTACTGCCAAAAGCGCTATACAGATTTAATGTATTAAAATTCCAATGACGTTCTTCATAGAAATAGAAAAAGCAATCATAAAATTCATTTGGAAAAGTAAGAGGCCCAAAATAGCCAAAGCAAGAAAGGTTAAACAGGAGACATCACAATACCAGACCTTAAATTATACTACACAGCTATAATAAGAAAAACAGCATGATATTGGCACCAAAACTGACACATAGACCAATGGTGCAGAATAGATGACACAGAGACAAACCGACATAAATATAGTCAGGTCTTTCTAGACAAATGCACCATAAGCATACATTGGAGAAAAGATAGCTTCTTCAACTAATATTGCTAGGAACACAGGAAATCCATATGTAGCAAAATGAAATTAAACCCCTATCTCTAACCCTGCACAAAAATTAACTCAAGTGGATCAAAGACTTAGGAACTAGAACACAGACCCTGGGCCCAATAGAAGAAAAAGTAGGCCCAATTCTCCAACATGTTGACTTAGGAACTGACTTCCTTAACAAGACTCCTAAAGTGCAAGAAGTAAAATTAAGATTTAACAAATGGGATGGAATCAAAACTAAAAAGCCTTTTTACAGCAAAGGCAACAATCAACAACCTGAACAGAGAACCTACAGAATGGGAGCAAATCTTTACCACATGTACCTCAGATGGAGCATTAATCTCCAAGTTATGTAAAGAACAAAAAACTCAACACCAATAAAACAAATAATACAATCAATAAATGGACTAAGGAACTGAACAGACACTTCACAGAAGAAGAAATACAATTGATCAACAAACATATGGAAAAATGTTCATTATCTCTAGCAATTAGAATACAAATACAATCTCACCCTGGTCAGAATGGCAATTATCAAGAACACAAGCAACAATAAATGTTGATGAGGATTTGGAGAAGAAGGCATACTTATACATTGCTGGTGGGACTGCAAATTGGTGCCACCATCATTGAAAGTGGTATGGAGATTCTTTAGAAAACTTGGAATGGAACCACCATTTGACCCAGGTGTGTCACTCCTTGGTTTATACGCAAAGGTCTTAAAATCAGCATATGATCAGCAGTGATGCAAACACTAAGGTATGGAACCAAACTAGGTGCCCTTCAACAGATGAAAGGATGAAGAAAATGTAGTATATATACACAATGGAATGTTACTAAGCCATAGAAAAGAATGAAATTATGTCATTTTCCAGTAAATGGATGGATCTAGTACTATCATGCTATGTGAAATAAACCAATCCCAAAAGACCAAAGGCAGGATATCTTCTCTGATACGTGAATGCTAACTCATAATAAGGGGTTAGTTGTAGGGAAGAATAGAAGTACTTTGCATTAGACAAAGGGGAATGAAGGGAAGGGAGGGAGAATGGGAATAGGAAAAATAGTAGAATGAGTTGGACATTACTATCCTATTTGCACATATGATTACACTACCAATGTAATTCCACATCATGTACAAACATAAGAATGAGAAGTTATATTTCATATATGTATAAAATGTCAAAATACATTCTACTATCATGTATAACTAATACGAACAAATAAAAAAAAGAAAGAAATGAAAAGTAAACAACAGGGTAAATAAGTACAGGGCTCAGGAGAGAAGTTGGGTGTAGTGATTTAAATGTAGAAGTTACTGGTATACTCCTAGTGCTTAAAGCCTTGGCACAGAATGAAATCACCTGGGAAAAAGTGTATATAGAGAAAGAAACCAAGTACTGACTGAGCACATTGATATTAAAGACAAGTAAGAGAAAGAGGAGCTAGTGAGATAAGAGGAAAACCAGGAGGGTGAATAATCTCTAAATCCTAGTATACAGCTATTAAATAGCCGTTTCTCTTTTTTAATGCATGTTGTAAAACATTGTCTGTTACTGTTAACACTTTACTAAAAAAATCTAACTTGAGTGTTTAGTTCCGGCCATGGAAGATGAAACTAAGGAGCTAGGAAACTATCCCACTTTTTAATTTTCAGTATTTTCAGGTAGTATCACCTCTCATACTCTAAAATAGAGTAATTCTAGCTATTTAGGCTTTCTTTGAAAGAGGACATTTGGTAGTTGATTTGTTTTTAAACAACTTCATTTCTGGCTAAAAACTTTTAATAAAGTATGTGTATTTCCAACTGAATATAAGCTTGTTTTTTTCTATAATCAATTTACATACAAAACATGTTTTACTACTACTATTTTTTTTTTCAATACTGGTGATCAAACCCAGGGCCTTATACATGCTCGTCAAGCACACTACTGCTTATCTATATCCCAAGTCCTTTGTAATTTAAATTTTATTTTGATGCAGAGTCTAACTAAATTGTTGAAATTGGCCTCCAACTTGCTGTCCTCCTGCATCAGTCACCTGAGTTTCTGGAATTACAGGTGTGCACTATTGCACTTAGCTTGTATTTCATTAGTCTTTATTCTTCTGATAATTCATAAAATTTTAGAGCTAGAGGAATTATGAACATTTCCAGAAATATATATATATTTATATGCCAATAATTATTTATATAAAGTTTGATTGTTAAGCTATTGACTATTAAGCTATAACTATTTTAGTTATGCAGTTAGTTCTATTTTGCTGTAAACAGAAAATCACAAAGACTAAAATAAAATTATTGTAGAACATGAATAAAATGAGAGGGAAGGGCTGGGGTTGTGGCTCAGCAGTAATGTGCTTGCTTAGCACGTGTGAGGCCCTGGGTTCGATTCTCAGCACCACATAAAAATAGGTAAACGAAATAAAAGTATTGTGTCCAACTACAGCTAAAAAATAAATTTTAAAAAAAAGTTGGAAAATTGAGAGGGAAAATATTTTCCTATTTTGGCTAAGTAATATTATGTTTACTATTCTAATAATAGTAAACATAATTGAAGTACCTGGCATCTTTAACGTGTGGAGGGAGCCATCTACATGTGATATCAATGGTTTCTTCTTAATTTGAGAGCTCCTTTATAGTTAGGTTTCTTGGGTCAAGTATAGTACTCTACATTGTAATAAGTGCTCAATAAGTAGATGTTGGTAACTTTGAATGTCTCTTTGAGTGATTAAGTACTAGAATTACTGCTTTTACCTTCCTTCTTTCCCCCATCTACCTTGCAGAGATATGCTTTGATATTAGTGTGGGTAATTATTAGAAAGATGTCTGGGTGTGTGGGAGTGGAAATTAGGGAGCAGTTGTTTATGTCTAGAAGCAACTCTTAGCTCCCAGCTCCTTAGTTGTTCCCTCTGCCAGTTTCTGTTATATGTGAACATTGAAACACAGGTCTAACCTCCCATAGATCAGATCTACTTACAGTTAAGGGAAAAAGTAGATGAGTTCATCCACATATACCTAGCTCTATATAATATGTACAGTTAGAAAAAGGATAGAAGGCTTTTTTAAAACATTATTCATTTGTATAGCTATGAAAACAATTGGCTTTAGCCAAGCCCAAAGTACTTTTTAAAATGGAAGACAATTTTTTTCTAATTTTTCTTTATGTGTTTAATTAAGATCTCTGCTATAGTATTTTTTTCATTTTTCTCAACATAATTGACAATCTTAGAATATAACTAAATATTGTAATGGGATTTTCTCTGTGAATATAGCCAGTAACCAACCTCAAACTTAACATCCTGTGGCGTTCTAGAAGCTAATAATTTATTAAAAATATGGTCTTCTTGAATTAAATATGCTTTATATATATTATTATATGTATCTCAAAACCACTGTCATGTTTGAGAGTAGGAGAAACTTTGGTGAAACAGAAAAGGGAATAGAGGCAGCATTTGTTTCAGGCTTCTTCAGAACATCATAGAAAGGTTGGAATTGGAAATAGAGAACTTGGAAATCAGGAACGGGTCCTTATCCCCAGGTGTTGAAGATTAAACACCCGAGAAACACCCAAGCAAACATAGAAAGCAAGTCTTATTTAAGAAAGAGGCAGGTACAGAGACAGCAGAGAAGGGGGCCCATAGCTGAGAATTTGGGGGAGGGGATGGTCTTGTCTCATTTATAAATCCCAGAATCCCTGTTTTAATCCCAGCTTAAGGAGCAGGAGCACAGGGGTAATCACTTGTGCATTCCCAGAGGTGTTAGCAACCCATGGGGCAGAGAAGGGGAAAGTTAGCTGTTAGCAACCCATTTCCTTTTCTTTGATAGCCAACCCTCATTTTTCTAAGATCATTTATTATCTAGCTGACTACTTGTCTTTTGCCCCTATCTCAGAATGCTATAATCTTCAGTCTTATTCCTATCTCCAGAGGTCAGAAACATAAAAGTTCCATCCTTCAAATCACATGCTTGGTGCTTTTGATTATCAGCCCTGTCCTGAGGTTTTCCAGGTACCCACCAAGATTCTGATTGATATAACAAAGAAAGTCCTGTCACTCAGGAAATTTTAAGGGTTTTTAAAGCTTCCAGCCAGGAACCCACAATGACAGAAAATTAGCAGCACATGTTGCCTGGCATCATAGCACCTGACATATTTTTTCTTTGTGGGATGTGATATTCTATGATGTATGGGTCTAAACCAGAGATAGCAGAATTACAAATTTGAATTTCCATTGTTGAGCCTATAGAGAGGCATTGATGCCTTAGATAAATAACAGTTTTAAATAAATGTATGTTTTAGGAATATTCAGTTCCACTGTTTTCATAAGGAATGTAACCCCATTAATAAAAAGGAATTTGATGCTGTTGTTCTTCTTTGCCAATAGATACTCAGAGTTTCAGAGAGTTAAATAATTTCTCATGAGGATTATGATAATTCTCCCAAAATTTACCAATAAAAATGCTAATATAAAACACCATGTAATGTTATACCTTTTTTTTCAAGTAATCTTCCTTTTTGAGGCATCAACTGGAAAACCACTAGGTGATGGGAAGCTTCTTTCTCATAAGGTAATGGACATTAGCTATTTCTAATGTAAATAACTACTTTTTGTTTACTTTTAAAAATAGTTTCAAGGAGGAGAACAGAAATTAGTCTTATATTTAAAATCAGTGTGCATTCTACATATTTTGCCTAAAAATGTCACAAAGACTAGGCTCAGATAAAATCTGCAATAGGAAGCTATTATGAAAATTAATTGAATAAAAGGATCTGACTTATATGTCTATTTTCCAGGCTTTTTAGTGCTTTTCAACAGCATATTTTATACTGATTAAGCTTTCAGGACCTAGCAATAAATAAAAACTAATTTTTATTTTAAACCTCTTGCAGTTTTTTCATTGATTTATCCTTAAACAGCATTTTCTTTAAGACTATAATTACTCCATAAAGAAGTATAAAAATTTTTTATTGGCTTTTCATTTTTTTAATCTTAAAAAAAAGGAGCTCATTATATTACTGTGTCAAACAAGTGATGTGTTGGGTCTTAAGATGCTTTTAACTCAGTTGTTTTATACTGCTAAAAAACTGTTACTCTAAATTGTATTCTTCTTTCTATAAGTGCTGTTTTTAAATCTGAATAATGGATACATTCATTGATGTGGTTCAGAAATCAAAAAACATGAAAAAGTTTTACTATTATACCTGTTACTCATGAATACAGTTACTCCCTATCAAATAAGTAACCACTGTTATTAATCTCATATATACTTTCATAAATTTTTAGTGTATGTACAAACAAAACTGATATTTGATCTTTTTCCTCCTCTTAACCAAAAATGTAGTGTATAGCTTGGCACCTTGCTATTTTCACACAACACACTATTTCTGGAGATTTTTCTGTATCTATACATACTGTGCTTTCCCAATCCTTTTTCCTTCTACCATATAATGTACATTTTATGGATATATCAGAATTTATTTAACCTGGGCCCAGAGGGTGGACACTTAAGTTCTCTCTAGTCTTTTGCTTTTATAGTACTGCCAAGGTGAGTTACTTTGCTTATACATCATCTTGCTACAGTACTAGTTCTTCTTGCTACAGTTCTAGTATAACTGGCATTAATTCATGAAATGTTTCTGGCCCGAAAGATATGAGCATTTGTAATTTTAATGAGAGTTGTCAAGTTATCTTCCAAAGAGAGTGAATCAGTCTCACTTAGGAATATATGCATTGCCTGTTTCCCTACAACCTCTCCTTTATAAGTCATTTTAAATCAAGATGAAAATTTTTCCTTTTCAGTAGAAATAAGTATCTAAAAAATAAATTTCCCAAATAATAACAACCCAATCTAGAACTCAAATCTTTGTGTTATTAAATGAATATTAATTAGTACAGGGCAAAGTAGAAGGTTCTAATGAACAAAAAATTACTGTCATCTCCCACTACGAAGAATGACTCAGGATGAATAGAATAGAAATAGAGAGAGTAGAACTAGAAGATGGGGAAGTCCTGCTAAATGAAAAGGTAGACTCCTCCCCTTTGTGCATAGGTATTATTATTATTATTGTCCATGTTTAATTTTGATGGGGATTAATGCTTGGGGATTAAACCTAGGGCCTTGCACTTGCTAAATGGTAGGTGCTTTATAACTGAGCTACATCCCCAGTCCTTTTTATTTTTTATTTTGAGAACAGGGTTTCACTAAATTGGGGAGGGTCTTGCTAAGTTGCTGTGGCTGGCCTTTAACTTGCAATTCTCTTATGTCAGTTGCTAGGATTAGAGGTATGTGCCACTACACCTGGCAAAAATCAATTTCTTTAAAAGGTTTCCATTTTGAAAATTTCTAGCTGTATATTTCATGCATGTCTTAATATACATAGAACAAAATTCTTTACTTCCTTAAAATATAAATTGTGGTATTCCAGAAAAGAGCTGCATTTAACAAAAAATGTATTTGAATATGACCTATCAATTTGGATAGACGTATATTTTGTTTTGTTTTAAAAGGTGTTAATTACAGTACACGTAGATACAATGACTTGATGGTATGATCATGATTCTTGTTGAATTCACAGTTCCTAACTTCAGACACAGTAGGCAATAAATAAATAAATAATAAATAAATAAATCCCTGACACTGTGGCATGCACCTGTAGTTCCAGCTACTTGAGAAGCTAACACAGGAAGATTGCTTGAGGCCAGGAATTTAAGACCAGCCTGGGCAACCTAGTCAGACCATGTTCTATGATCCCCCAGAAATCCCTTTTGGATTGAATTGAAATGAATCCATTCTAAACCATTTCTAAGTTATAAGAAAGTTTATCTTACTAGCCAATATGGTAGCTTAATGTAGGATGCCAGAAATACTCTTATTTCTGGAAAAGCAATGGTCTTGGAATCAGGAGGCTGAGTTGTTAAGTTTCAGATCTGTTTGGTACCAAATTTTTCTGAGCAAAATTGCTTAACAAATATGGGTCTGATTTGCAAAATAAGTATTATAATAATACCTATATAAGATTTCCTATTTCACAGGAAATGAATATGAAAAATCTATAAAATCTAAGGCTCTGGAAGAATGAAATATTTCTACATATGTCCAAATTTTATTTTTAACTAATTCTTAAGATATAGGTATTAGCTAGTATACTTAGAATACATTCTTTTTGTGATAGGGGGGACCAGGGATTGAATTCAGGGGCACTTGACCACTGAGCCACATCCTCAGCCCTATTTTGTATTTTATTTAGAGGCAGGGTCTCATTGAGTTGCTCAGTGCCTCGTTTTTGCCGAGGCTGGCTTTGAACTTGTGATCTCCTGTCTCAGCCTCCTGAGCTGCATGCCACCACCGTGCCCAACTTAGAATACATTTTGGTAAGAGGGGCTTGTTCATTGAACTAAACCTCTCATTTGCCCCACCTTTTTCACCTGATCCTTTATGGATAATTCAGCAGGTTTCTCAGTGTACAGCATATCTATATACACTTTATTATGTTTTAAAGTCTATCTTTCCCTTGGATTGTAGGAAAAGAAGCTAAATTTTAGTGTAGCTTTTGAATTATTAATATATTGGCAACTTAAAATTATTTAAAAGGGACATTTTATCATTATAAATACGTGACATTTAATTGATCTTTAAATAAATATTATGATTAAATGATCAAAATGGTCTTGCAACTAAAACTAGTCCAACATTTATATATTTTTTAAAATTTTAGAATGAAATCTTGGAAATTGCTCTGGATCAAAAAGGACTTACCAATGATAGAAAAATTGCATTCATTGATAAAAATAGAGATCTCTATATCACTTCAGTGAAACGATTTGGGAAGGAAGAACAAATTATCAAACTTGGTAAGATTTTAATATGTTTTATATATTTAATTATTTTCTTAGCTCTACTCTTATCTGTCATGTACCATTTTCCTTGCTTGAATGAATCTTAAAATGTTTTGGTCTCACATTTCTTAGCTGTTTCACTCCATTTTAATATCAAGTCTTTACTGCACCTAAATTGGCATTGAAAAAAAGACCTACAAATTAAAAATGTAATGGCTTAAAGTAGAAGATTCAAATATGTTCATTAATTTTTATGTGAATTTTGAATGTTTTATCATCATACATTCAGAAAGTAGAGACATCATTACCAAAAGTTAAATGGGATCTTGTTAGCTGATTTTAAAGATGTATTTTTGATACTTATATATCAAAACTAATAGAACATTAATATTCTTGTTAAATTAAGGAACAATGGTGCATACTTTGGCATGGTGTGATACATGCAATATCCTTTGTGGACTTCAAGATACTCGATTCACAGTGTGGTATTACCCCAATACGGTTTATGTGGACAGAGACATTTTGCCTAAAACTTTGTATGAAAGAGATGCAAGGTAACATTTTACTACATAGAAATCTGTGTTGTGGTAAATGAAACTATAATAGACTGTCATATATTCACTCTGATTTCAATTCTACACGGTATCTTATTTTAATCAAATAAATTGATCAGCTAAAACTAGCTTAATGAGGTCTAAGTGATGGAATTGAATTTAATATATAATATGAACTATTTATTTGCCTCTTAATATAATTTTCAAGCTTAGTAGTATTTAATGGTATCTTCGATAATTTTCTTCAATGTGATTTAGTGATTTTAATACAGGCACTGTTAAGATTTTTCAGTGAAGCACAACTTTGTGATAACTACCCAAAACACAGATTATCATAGACTTCAAGACATTCAGGAATGTATATGTCTTTTAAATTGAATTTTTTGTTTTAGACTAAAAGTAAAAAAAAAAAAAGATTATAGGAAAACTCTTGGAGAAAATATAAGTTTGAGAAAAGGCTTCTATGAAAACCATAACTTGGTTTTCAAATCTGTTCTGAGTCTGTTTGTTTTTGCAGTGCTGGGGATCAAACCCAGGGCCTTAGACAGGCTAAGCAAGTGCTCTACCACTGACTACATGCCTAGAATTTGAGTTCATTTTTAATATTTGAGTTGACGGCCATAGGAAAATCAGAGGGATAGCAAAATAAAACCACTTAATTTTTAAATTAATGAAGTTAGTTACTTATTTAAAGTTTACCTTTTTATTATTAGAAAATAACATATAATCTTGGAATTCAGCTTAATTTTTATTAGTTTACCTCTTTTACTTCTAAAAACAAAAGTTTAGTTATTTAATCATTTACATGATTTATCTTAAGATGGAAAAAATATGTGTTAACTTTCTATCACTGTAACAAATATCTGATATAATCAACTTATAAAGAGAAAAGGCTTATTTTGGTTTAGTTTCAGACCATGATTGGTTGGCCCTGTTGCTTTTAGACCTGTGGTGAGGTAACACATCATGGTAGGAGCATATGGTGGAGCAGAACCACCCACTTATGTCTCAAAAGTGAAATAGACATAGAGAAAGGGGCTAGGGTCCCACTGTCCCTTGAGGGGCATTCTCCCAAATGACCTAAAGACCTCCTACTAGGCCCCATCACTTCCTCAGAGCATCACCCTTGGGAGCAAGCCTTTAACCACATGGACCTTGAGGGAACACAAGGTCCAAACTAGCAAAAGGTCACTTTAGATGCTTTTAAGAATAGCTTCAAATACATAAGAACTTTTGTCACTTTAGATTGAAAGTATATATTTCTTCAAATATGTGCATATAGCAAGTTAGATTCAAATATTTATTTGAATACATATATAACTTTGGAGGGAACATTTTAGAGTTTGAAAACTCCCTATGAGTGTCAGGGGTCTACTTCTCAAATTTATTACTATGAAAATTTTGCTCAGAATGTGACCTTAAATTGCCTTTTGTTATTTTTTAACAGTGAATTTAATAAAAATCCTCATATTGTGAGTTTTGTTGGAAATCAGGTAACTATAAGAAGAGCTGATGGCTCCCTGGTACACATCAGCATATCACCATATCCTGCTATTCTCCATGAATATGTAAGCAGTTCAAAATGGGAGGATGCTGTAAGACTTTGTCGCTTTGTTAAGGTACTTTACATTTCAGATACATAGTTATGTATATATTGTGAATGGGTTTACCTTTTTGCATGATGAGTAATGATAAAACTAAGGAGTAAAAATTTTATAAATAGGATCATGTCTTTTGCTTTATAAATGAACATGAGCAATTCAGAGGAATTGCTGTGTGATGTATTCTTTGAAGAAGCTATAATTAGATTAGTAGTTTGTAAATACTAGCATATATAAAAATCTTCTGTGGAACTTTTTATAAAAGTTTCCTAAATTCTACCCCACAGAGATTTTAATTCATTAAGTCTGGGTTGAGGATTAGGCATGTTTTTTAAGTTCTTCTGATGGTTCTTTTGTATAACTAAGATTAAGAATCTCTTCTTTAGATCAGCATTTCTCAAATTATTTGAATTCAGTATTTTCCAAAAATGTTTGATCATAGATCTCTTTTATTGAATATCAGTTAACATCCCTCAGAATACACTTTGTAAAATAACAGATGCTTTTCCTTATAATGAATTGGTAGTAGCTGTTTGTCACTATAGTATTGTTTGAGAACATCACACAATTATGTTCCTCTGCTTCCCTGTAATATATAATTTCTGGTCCCTCATTAAAGAGACGGGAGGGCTTATACCCTTAAATTATTTCAAATTAAAAACAAAACAAAACAAAATAACAACCTTGGGCTGAGTGTAACTCAGTGGTAGAACAGTTGCCTACCATGTGCCAGACCTTGGATCTAGTTCCCAGTATCACAAAAATAAATAAGCAAATAAATAAATCCTTGATAACTAGAAAAGTATTTAGAAAATTTTATTTGAAAATTCTCTGTTATTAATGTATTTTTAACAAAGTAACCACGATGAAATCCTCACATTATTTTTTTAGTTTTTTTCATTGCCATGTTCCATAATTTAATTTTTTAAATTAACTGCTTTAATTATTATCTTACTAGGAGTTTGTTTTAAGACAGTTCAGCCATGTAGTTGAGGTAATTCTTATGTTTTACTTTAGGAGCAAACCATGTGGGCTTGCCTAGCTGCTATGGCACTTGCTAATCGAGACATGACTACTGCAGAAATAGCCTATGCAGCAATTGGTGAGGTAAGTAAATAATGTTTACATATATAATGTGTAATTTTTCTCACCATAATTTGTCATATTTCTATTGTTTTTCACTTCAAATGTTTTTCTTTTGTTTTAGATTGATAAGGTTCAATACATCAATTCAATAAAAGATCTTCCCTCTAAAGAATCAAAAATGGCTCACATACTAATGTTTAGTGGAAACATACAGGAGGCTGAAATAATACTTCTTCAAGCTGGCCTTATTTATCAAGCAATTCAGATCAATATTAATCTCTATAACTGGGAAAGGTAATAAAAATGCTTTTCATTAATTCTAAAATCTGACTGACCTTAATGTATTTTTCCATTTAGCACTTAGTAAATTATATTTTTCTATTGTATTAATAGTTTCCTATCACCACACAGTTTATTCATATTTATATTTGTGAATAGTTTACAATTAAAGATTTATGTATTCTCTGAATTTGTGATTAGTTAAAAGTTGGGGGTGTGAAGAAGAGAGTCTATGATGTCTCCCAAATTTCTGATATTAATACTAAGAAGATGGTGGCACTGCTAGCAGATTTGTAGCGAAGATAGTGAGTTCACTTTTAGCTAAGTAGAATTTGAAATACTTATGAAGAAACATCTGATAATAGTTTATTGAATGGACCTGAAACTCATGAGAAACTTTTGAACAGGATTTTTAGATTATAAGTCACCAGGAAATGGACAATAGTTGAAGCAAGAAGAAAGGAGTGGTCAGGAGCAACGTTCCATTAGACTTTGGGACAAATTGCTTTCTGAGACAGAGTGGCATGCTAATCTTCTCTGATGTATTAAATCCTTCCACTCATTCTCAGAACGTGTATCCCAGTGAACAAAGATAACTCATATATCTCCCAATCGTAAGGCCTTATATTTATAACTCTTAGGCTGTCTACAAAAATTCTAATCTCTATCTCTGTTTTTCTCTTGAATAGAAGTAATAAAAATGGCAGATGGTTAATTGTGTGATATACTGTAATTGCTTTATTTATGTCCTAATGACCTATACTATTCATTTAATTCAGACATTCTATTTCTGTCCTTTTTTTGTTGGGGGTGGGGGTTAACTAGGGATTGAGCTCAGGGGAACATGGTCACTAAGCCATATTCCCAGCCCTACTTTGTATTTTATTTGGAGACAGGAACTGACTGAGTTAACTTGATTTTGCTGAATCTGGCTTTGAACTTGTGATCCTCCTGCCTCAGCCTCCGGAGCTGCTGGAATTATAGACCTCCGCCACCACACTCAGCTATGTTCTTTATTCACACAAATTGGTTGTCATTGTTTTTAACTGAATAAAGAATCATGAAATATGTTGTTGGTACTGTAAAAATGCAAAGGCCATTGTCCTTGTCTGCAATTTATTCACAATTCATCTATTTAGATGCAGGATCTCTGGTCTAATTCCTAGGTCCTTGATCCACTTTGAGTTGAGTTTTGTACAGGGTGGAGGGAATTAATTAATTAATTAATTAATTTCATTTTGCTGCATATGGATTTCCAGTTTTCCCAGCACCATTTGTTGAAGAGGCTATTTTTTCTCCAATATATGTTTTTGACACCTTTGTCTAGTCTGAGATAACTGTATTTATGTGGTTTAGTCTCTGTGTCCTATATTCTGTACCATTGGTCTACATGTCTATTTTGGTGCCAATACCATGCTGATTTGTTACTATTGCTCTGTAGTATATAGTTCAAGGTCTGGTGTTGTGATGCTGCCTGCTTCACTTTTCTTGCTAAGGATTGCTTTGGCCATTCTGGGTCTCTTATTTTTCCAGATGGATTTTATGATTGCTTTTTCTATTTCTATAAAGAATGTCATTGGGAATTTGATTGGATTTGCATCAAATCTGTATAGTGCTTTTGGTAGTATGATCATTTTGACAATATTAATTCTGCCTATCCAAGAGATCTTTCTATCTTCTAAGGTCTTGTTTAATTTCTTAAAATAACTGGTTTGAGGAAAGAATATAGCTAAGATTAACCAAAAGAACTTGAAGAATGAAAAAAGAAAGAGATCAGCAGGTACATATCTGTTGAATATGAACATTCAAGTGTCTAGTTTAAGAAGAGGAATCAGCAAAAGAGATCAGGAAGAAACAAAAAGATGAAATTTTTAAAAAAAATTTATGGAAAAATTACAAACACAAAAATAGAATAGTATAGTTAATAGTATAGTAGTATACTAGTATAATAATATTATAGCAATATAATAATATAAGAGTAAAAATAGAGAATAGTATACTAATCTCCATGTACCCATCAGTTCTCTTCAATAATCAACCAATTTGTAGATAATCTCCCTTTTTTTCTCTATTTAATGTGACCTAATCATAATCATCATATAATTTTACCTATAAATATTTTAGTTTATATCTCTAAAAGTTTTTTAATATAGTCCCAGTACCATGATTGTATCTTTTTTTTTTAAATTACTTTGTAGTTGTAGATGGATAACATGCCTTTATTTTATTTGTTTATTTTTATGGTGGGCTAAGGATGGAACTCAGTGCCTCATGCATGATAGGCAAGTACTCTGCCACTGGGCTACAGCCCCAGCTCTCATGATCATATCTTAAAAGGTTCACATTTTTGTATTCAGTGCTCTTATTTCTCTGTTGATCTATAAATATTTTGTTTTATGGTTTGAATCAGGATCCAAAAAAAGATCCACATATTGTGATTAGTTGATGCATTCTTAAGGGTTTTTTTTTTGTTTGTTTGTTTTGTTTTTAGCATCGGTTCTTCTATTTCTGTTTATGTTTTCTTGCAATTTCTCCATTGAATGAACTGGCCCTATACAAACCCCATAGTCTGGACATTGTTGATTGCATCTTTATAGTATCATTATATTATTAGCATATTCCTCTATATCCTGAATTAGTTTCTGATTGGTTGTTGAATATAGAAACTTGGTAGGTTTAAATTTTATTTTTCTGGGGGAAGGGCTGGCTAAGGATCTATAATAGGTGGTGGTGTATATGTTTCCATGGTAACTATTTTTCTGATGTTAGTAAGCCATTGATGATCACTGTCTAGATCCATTAATTAGGGGTTATAAAGTTGTGCTATTTCTAATTCTGATATTCTAGAAGTATAGAATTTAAGTATTAGATGATGAATATATTAGATTACTTTTAAGATCCTTGAATTTCTATTATTTGTTTAAATTCTCTAGAAGAGAACAGATTTTATTTATTTATATGTGTTACTCTATATGAGAGGCATAGATGTTTTAAGTTATGCTTTTGTCTTTCCTATTTGGACTTGAAAATTGCTTGCAACCTAACAAGAAGCAGTTCTTTTTTTTTTTTTTTTTTTAACATGACAGTGATTTTGAAATATTATACATACATAGAATAAGTATAACATGGTCTAATTAGGATCCCACCATTATTGTGGTTGTACTTAATGTGCAGTTGTATGGGTCGTGTATATACGAAGATAGGAAAGATATGTCCAGTTCATCCTTTTGTCTTTCCTGTTGCCATCTTTCTTCCCTTCCCACTTTGTCCAGTCCAATGAACTGCTAATCTTTCTTCCCTTGTTAGCATCTACATATCAAAGAGAACATTCTGCTTTTGATTTTTTGGGATTGGGTTATTTTACATAGCATGATAGCCATTTATTTACCAGCAAATGTTATAATTTCATTCTCTTTTATGGCTGAGTAATATTACATTGAGTATATATACCATGTTTTCTTTATTCATTCTTCTGTTGTAGGGCACTTAAGTTGGTTCCATAATTTAGGTATTGTGAATTGAACTGCTGTAAACATTGATGAGGTTGTATCTCTGTAGTATGCTGATTTAGAATGTATTTTGGGTATAAACCAAGGAGTGGGATAGCTGAGTCAAATGATGGTTCCATTCCAAGTTTTCTGAGGAATCTCCATACTGCTTTCTAGATTCCTTACACCAATTTGCAGTCCCACCATCGATGTATGAGTGATCCTTTTCCCCACATTCTCACCAATATTTATTGTTGCTTGTATTCTTGATAATTGCCATTCTGGCTGGGATGAGATGAAATCTTAGAATAGTTTTGATTTGCATTTTTCTAATTGCTAGAGATGTTGAACATTTTAAAATGTTTGACCATTCATATTTCTTCTTCTGTGAAGTCTTTTTAGGAAGGAAGCCCATTATTGGTGTTGAGTTTTTTGAGTTCTTTACATATCCTGAAGATTAATGCTGTATCTGAGGTACATGTGGTAAAGATTTGCTCCCATTCTGAGGGTTCTCTGTTCTCCTTATTGATTATTTTCTTTGCTGAGAAGAAGCTTTTTAGTTGGGTTCCATCCCATTTATTGATTCTTGATTTTATTTCTTGCGTTTTAAGAGTTGTTAAGAAAGTCAGTTCCTAAGCCAATATGGTGAAGATTTGGTCCTACTTTTCCCTCTATTTTAAAAAAATATTTATTTTTTAGTTGTAGTTGAACACAATACCTTTATTTTACTTATTTTTATGTGATGCTGAGGATTGAACCCAGGTCCTCACACATGCTAAGTGAGCGCTCTACCGCTGAGCCACAACCCCAGCCCCACTTACTTTTTCTTCTATTAGGCACAGGGTCTCTGTTCTCTTAGTTCTCTGCCTAAGTTTTTGATCCACTTTGTGTTTAATTTTGTGGAGGGTGAGAGATGGGGGTTTAATTTCATTTTGCTACTTATGGATTTCAAGTTTTCCTAGCAATGTTTGTTGAAGAGACTATCTTCTCCAATGTATGCTTATGGTACCTTTGTCTAGATTGAGATACTGTGTTTATGTGGTTTTGTCTCTGTGTCATCTATTCTGTTCCATTGGTCTATGTGTCTGTTTTGGTGCCAATACCATGCCATTTTTGTTACTCTGGCTCTGTAGTACAGTTCAAGATCTGGTATTATGATGCCTTCTGCTTCACTCGTCTTGCTAAGGATTGCTTTGTCTGTTCTGGGCCTCTTACTTTTCCAAATGAATTTTATGATTGCTTTTTCTATTTCTATGAAGAATGTCATTGGGATTTTAATAGGAATCACATTAAATCTGTTTGGCGCTTTTGGTAGTATGGCCATTTTAAAATGTCTATTTTGCCTATCTAAAAGCATGAGAGATTTTTCTAGCTTCCAGGATCTTCTTCAATTTCTTTCCTGTAGTTTTCAATGTAGAGGTCTTGCACCTCTTTTATTAGACTGATTCCCAAATATTTTACTTTTTTTTCAGGCTACTGTGAATGAGGTAGTTTTCTTAATTTCTTTTACAGTGGATTCATCACTTA